CAGAGAGTGGCTCATCTTCACTCCATTAATGGAGATGGCTCAACCTTTGTTTGTGTGCCTAGTTGTGCTTGCAAGTCATAATCGAGTATTGGATATTTCTTGGAACATAAATGGTAGGGACCGGGGCAAGAAAACACATTTGGATAAACGGTGTGGTTTGTATAAGGTTGAGGCCCTAAACGATCAAAGGCACTACTACAAATAGTATCAAACGATATCATCTAAGCATCGAAAATATTTGAAATGGCTTGAAATTTATGTTTATCTTTAATTTTATAATTTAAAGCTTAAAAAAGAGTGTAGATCAAGTACATCTATGAACATTTGAAAATCTTGAAAATTGACAATAAATATAATACATTACAAGATGCACTATTTTCAAGACTTAATGCTTTTTTTTAATTCCTTGTTTTTTCTTTTCTTTTTATGCGTCAATGTATTGAGATGATAGGCTTTGGGGCTTTTTCAATATCGAAAAAACATCATCAAGTGAATTTTTGAGGTGTGCCTCAGTTTCATTGTTAGGGCAACTTCATATAGATAAAACATAAATCTCTCCCTCTCGCCTGGAATCTATGTCGGCTTGAAAACGAGACAACTGCTCATCTTTGCAAGAAAGATTAGGAAACTGTTTGAAAGCTCCTTACCCCTTAGCTTTTTTTAGTTTCATCCATAAATTTATTCAAACTGTATTACTGTCCTGCATATATGATTTATAATCATTTATAAACTAATGGTATATCATTGAAAAAAAATTCCGATTTATATATTGATATGAAGGGAATACACAATGTCTCAGCTGAGAGAGAACATAAATGCCAGGTTACATAGATCCACTTTAAACTGCGGCATGCTTCATGATTCAAGGCATATCTGACTCAGCGATCAAGCGATCCGAGAATGATGCTTACATGAGATTGAATGTTGAATCCATGAACTCTACACAATAGAATCAATCGGATCACAAACCTGAGATTTAATAGGAAAGAAGCAATTATCCCAATCATGTAAACAAAAGCAGAACATACTGTGAAATAGACGGGGAGAACCCTGGTGCAAAAGCGAGCTTGGCCCACTTTCCTTATTCTTAGATGAATGTTTATCATTTGTTCATAATTAGTGTGTTTTACTTGCTTAATGTGCAAGGTATACGACGATACTTAAATTTAAATCCAAATGCATCAAGTTTATCTTCTTACCATTAATGGCCTTATGAGTGTGTATTGAAAGACTTTTATTATAGTAAAATATAAACTCAGTGGAAGTGTGATCCCTCGATGATCATACTAAGCGAATGATGTTCGCGTATACCGGACTGTTCTTATCGATCTAGGCTAGTCGGTTAGAAAACCCAAGGTACCTGAGCGTAAAGAATTAACCAATGAGGGTTTTGGGTTAGCCCTTAATGAGGTCGGAGCTTATGCCTAGATGAGTGAGCCGAGAGACTGTGTGACCCTTGTGTATGATGGTAGGCCTATTGAGACGGGGGCCACAACCTCATCCATGTTCCATCACACGGCATGCATATCGATAGATCATTTGGGAAAGCCAGATATCCACCTTTGGGTGAAGCGTATGTATGTACGAGAGATACCCCTATGCACCATAGAGCTGTGGTCGCATTAGGTCATCGTGACATTAACTCATCTCTAGGGGAGGACATATAATCCACAGACTGGGATTGCGACCCCTTGACTCACTTTGGCGACCCGCTAATGAGCTCCTGCTTGGACTGTGGGTCATGGGAAACACTTTGGTGACTGGCTAATGAGCTCTTGCTTGGACTGTGGGTCATGAAAAACCCTTTGTCAGTTCGATAAAGCTAGTGTGGTCTGTAATCCACAGTTAAAGGTGGAGTACCCCATAATCACAGATTGAATTCCTAAAACCATATGGATCATTTTCCAATCATATTAATTTAATTGTGTTTATTTTATTATTAAATTATTTTAGATTTATTATTTGAATTTTTTTAAGTCATTTGATATTTTATTTATTACTTTTAGACTTATAAAAATGAAGTTATTAATTTACAAAGTTATAATGTTTTAAAATTCATTTTGTTCAATTTTAAAATATTTATAAAAAATTACATTGAGCCCATAGTGCACACAAATAAAGTTCGTGTATGGTATAAACAAAAACCAGAAAATGAAGGTCGTACACAAAAATAAAAGTCATAGATGGGGCATACCTCCTTGACATGAGTTTCCTTGTCTGCTTCAATGTATATGTCATTCGTCAAATAATCCAATGTAATAACCGACTTTATCTGTTGTTTTATTCCTTGAGATTGCACATCCATACATTTCTGCATCAAGCAGAAAGCCACCTTTCTTTCATGGCCAATCTGATAAAAAACATAAAACATCAAATGTTAAGAGTATATAACAAAAAAGATTAAAGGAAATGTCCTCCTACTTTGTTTTCTCTCCCTCACTGGCTCAACATACTGCGCATTTGACCATCCAAAACCTTGGATCTTTCACTGAGGGCAAAAGAGCTTGTTCCACAACCTGTGTAGTCTCCTCCTCGTATTCTAAATGATCTGATCGACCATATTTTTTTTTAATTAACCTTTCAAGGTCTTCCAAATCTTGTTCTTCCTCTCGTAGAAAAGGTCCACGATGCACCCGTCTTGCAACTCATTTCCCACATCAATAAAATCTGTCACATGAACATGAAATAGAGGTATATAATTATGCAAAATATTTCTATTTGTTGAGAAATACTAAAATAGGGCTATGCATAATTGCTTCAAATAACTAAATTCTAGTATTTTTAGAAATCAAACTGTAATTCGATGATTATTCTCTATGAAGTACATCACAGCACTGACATGAATGCTGAGATTGATCATATCAGAGCAGCAATTTATACACCATGACCGTTCAGACACAAGAGGAAACGTTCTTCATCATCTCAATTATAGAAATTTATTTTCCTACTCATATCAAACCATAGAAAATTAAAATAGAAGCCGCAACTTTCTCGTAGTGGAACATCATTATCCTGCCATTAAAGTAGAGGTTAAAAGATCAGGGAGCAAAGTTGATTCACATTAGGTACTTATGGCTACGCTTAAACGTGCCAGTTAGAGTTGAGCCTATAGGTTTGACATTTCTACATAGTGGGGTGATTTGATTAGATCTGTCTAAAGCTCATAAAATTCAAACAACAGGATAGCCACTCCCAAGGAAAATCAAGAACAACAGGTATGGCCACAAAAGACCGTACAATCTACACACATTCTCCACGATCTTATTAAAGAAAAGAATATTAATATTTTCGAAACAAATGTACATTCTAGGATCATTTACTAGCTTTGTTCATTATAGAGGACTTATGATCCAGAGAGAGTCAACGTATCCCATAAAATAATTGAGTCAAAATATTTTATTGAGTATAATCCTTTAAAGAAAGTAAGCCTCAATAGTCGCATCGAAAATGATTACAAGTTACAAGAGCTAGGTACATTAGAGCATATGGACATTAAAACATTAAATTAACACTCGTGCCTACAACAAATAGCATTACATAACATAAACATAAATTAAATGTAAATTAAAGAAATTTACATTAAGTAAATTAGTGTTAATGTAAATTAAATAAATTGAAAAAATTAACTAAAGAGAGGGAATTGTAAGAAGAAGAAAATAAGGGAATGAAATATAAAACATGATATTTTCCTTCTTTTTACTTTTTTTTTTCTTTTTCCTTTCCAAAACTTTCAATGATATGAACCACAATCTAGAATATTTTTTTTGGCATGAACCATTGTGAGTGCTTAGAAATCCCATTATCAAAACCACTCATAAGAAGAAACAACAGCATATTCACATCTTGAAATAAAAATTCCACTCCCCATAAATTTTGCAGTAATTAGACTGAATAAAGAAAATTAGAAACATCAGAAAATTAGAAAGAGAGAGAAAAAAGAATCAATAGAGAGAGAAAGAACTAAAATCGAGTCTACGGGTATCTCCTTTGTCTTCCTCTTCGTCATCATCATCACTTGCAATAGGTGCGATATCGTCTAACAACTCAGAACCAGGTCGACTTGCGTTTTCTCATGCGGTAATCATCTTCAACCACATCATCTATCAATTTTGATCTCTTCTGCTTCTTCATCTTCCACCATCATAGTCCTCCTCGTCATAGTCCTCCTCGTCTTTTTCATAATGTCTAGCTAGGGCTATAAATCCGAAATTTCACCACGAACGAATTAGGTTTAGCAAAAAAGAGATGGGCTTTGCTGATTAAGTAGAGAAAGAAGGGAGAGTACAAATAACTTCTAAATGCATTAATATCGCCTCTTGATCATACGAGTTCGGAATATCGCCTCTGTAATGGATACGACTCTCTCAAATTTAAATGCAAATACAGCAAGTTTATCTTCTTATCTTTATTGACAAAGGAAATAAGAAGAAAAGATTAACATGACAACAACCTCATTAATTACCCACGAGTATACTTATTGCTCAATAGCACATGACCCTACACTAAAACATTTAGCAGACTGAGATACTAGGTATACAAAACATCGATCTTTCAACTTGTCTAAGTTTTAGAAAGTTCGCTGAGGAAAATTTCCGAAGTTCTAAGCCTGTCTTTTTTTTTTGTAAACTTCCATTATAATAGTTCTCTTTTACACAAAATGGGAAAGAGAAAGGTTGCATAACTTTAAAAGCCTAAAGGACCCCGCATTATACTTTATGTGCTCATTGGTGCACAAGGATTCCATGCACGGTCACACATGGCAGTTCGCATTCCATCATGGATTGAAGTGGCCCCTGTATAGAAGAAGTCATCAATTAAATTTACATCAATCTTTAAAACCAAAATGTTGATGTAATAGGGAATTATTTCAAGAACGTTAAAAATTAAGACCACCACAATAAATGCATACATCCTGCATCTCTCATCGGAGTCATGTGGAACATTGGGTTTTGTGTCCCAAACCATACCGTTGCATCTCTCATCGGAGTCATGTGAAGCATTGGGTTTCGTGTCCCAAACCATACCGTTGAGATGAATCCTGATAGGCACATAAAATTTCAACTCATAGGCACATAACAACCAATATTAAGAAACAGGGTAAACTTCTTAGCCAAACAATAATAGGAAAAGCAATAACCATTTTAACTAAGTATCGTCATAACTTCAACTTCAGCAATTTGATTCTTATTAACTGCATATTAGAATATTACCTTTTGTCAAAAATAAAAGAAAACCAACACAAAAGGCAATCACAATAATAACATAAAAGTACTTACCAGTAAGAGCCTTCATCTGTCATTCCAGTTCAACTCGAACAGTTGAACCATCAACATCTACTACACGACTACGGTAGCCCTTGCAGGGACCCACACGAATCTTGATAGTATTCCCAATCCCAACCAAAGCATCTCTTCCCCTGTACACCTTCCCCCAACTGCAATATTATAAATTCGAAAAGTCAATATAAAATACAGAATTGTTTCCCTCATTTCTTT